TACCAAATGAGTTTTTTGCTAAATTTCCTCCGCAGCCAATATCTGACTCGAAAAACAATAAATAAAACAAGCTGTGCTAAGGGGTGACCAACAAAAACGAATCCTAGGACAGTGCCAACGCTTCCTCTGGGGTTCTCGCTGTAATCAATGGCAGAGTAAATGTAAGGCTCGCCTGAGGCATTTGTCCCTTTACACGCCCAATACACAACAGTAACCATAACGTATACAGTACTGAAAAGCATTGGATAAATAACGTGAAATAATCGCACTGGGACAGTCCCAAGCAAGGTCTCTGTTAGGATAAAAACAGTATTCAGTATCTGAGTCGTGATGATTAAGCCATCGTATGAATGTCCCTTGTAATCGCTGTTTGTTGCTGTGATAAGTAACGCAGTATTTGCTGCAATGTTATATATCACCCACAAAGCTTCATGAAATCTTGTCATGGGTATCTCCTGCATGACTTCTAAAGGGTTAATAGACACTTTGACATCCTCATGGCTTCGGACGTTTTCACGTGCATCTGTTTTGTCACGCGATGCATTCATCTCCTCGCGTGACTTTCCTGCACGGGAGTCTATATCTGATGAACGTGACAGCCCTGCTGTGCGGTACTTTAGAGGAACCGGTTCAGGGCTGCCCATTTCGTATTCTCCTTGTCTACATTCTTCTCTGTAATAGAAAGCGGTTATTAAGGTGGCAAAAACAAAGTAAACTGTCACAAAGAGAAAACTCCAGTTGGTCAAGTAAATAAACCACTTCTCATGTCCGTTGGATGGGTGGAAACCGCTGTAAATTAACCAAGCACTGCAGTACCCGGCGACCAGAAGGCGGTAGACTAGGATCACAGGGACACCAAACCACTGAAACAAGGAGGATAGCAATTTTGAACAAGTCACAGGGATGGCACGCTGATTTTACCACTCCAAAATTCCTCGATAACTTGAAAGACCGAGTTAGTTTAGTAACGTTTAAAAATAAGATTTAAATTATCGTTTTCCTCAACAGATGGCAATCAATTATTCAAGAAGTTTTAAATAATGAGCTGGACCAGTTTTTTTGAGCTTATGCAAATATAAAGAAAATCTGGAGTTGATTTCTTAGTAAACGTAAATTTGAACACTAAAAATCACTTCCAGTTACGATAAAACAAAATCAAGTACGAAAATACTCGTGTAATAGCTTACTTAATTGTGAAATCCAAAAAAACTTGATTTTACAATTCGAAAATGGACTTCCTAAAATATTCATAACATTAATCACGTCACTCTATATCGTTACAGTACTTTTGAATAAATATAAGTTAAAATCATAGCCTCAGTTATTTGTTGTTTCCAAATCCAATAGTTTCTGAATTATTTAGAATAAGACCTATGGAACAAGAACGTAAAATGTCATGTGTCCAGTATATTTGAAATGTTTCCAGTTTTATATTTTAATCGCGTGACATTTTTGCCGGTTGGTATTGCACACTTATTCGGTGAACCGCATTTCCGCCTTTGTTTTTTCTTGTTTCTTGAAAAGTTCCTATATCATAAACAAATGCACTGGCTGCCTTTTCTCTATTTATTCTTTGGATAACTTTACCCATACATTCTTGATCAATTTTGCCCTTAATACAATTGGCATTAACTGAGGTTGACTTAGAGTAAAGTTTCAAACACCAACATGTACGCAGTAAAATACCAGTATGCAATGTGGGCGCAAGGAGAGAAATGTAGTAGGCATTATTTCGTATGTGAAGGATTATTTTGCTTTCGACATTTCACTGAGCTGTTTAAAGTGACATTAAAAGTCAACGAGTATCTAAACAAATGTGACTGTCTTCCCAGAGCATAGAACAACACTCGACGACAAAGATACATTGAAAGTTGAAGTAATCGACGGGCAAGTTCAACGCTGGAACAAGGCGTTTTTATAAAAAAAAAACGTTTTATCTCAAATGTCTTTCTTCCTGAAAGCACCTGGATTACGTTAGTATCGAATTTCGTTCGTTGGGAAGTTGTTAGGACAAATACATCATTCTTTACTTTACCATTGAAAGGTGGTCAACATTTGTACTTTTAGTTGTCACGGTTCAAGACTCGTAATTTCTTAAACTAGAAATTTCCGCCCCTTTGAATAGAAAAGGGGAAATCAAAAATTTAATGTATTGGTACAACTTTCACGCTCTTTGTTAATTCTTCCCTCAAGAGGAATGCGTTTGTTTTGAAAGCGATTGAAAGAAACGTCGAAACGAGAGACAGTGGAAAGACTTACATGCAAATAAGCAAACCGATGCCAGCGACAATTCAACCGATTGCTTAATTTTATATGAAGTCAACTTACCGGGGTTTCCGCAAAGTCCCCTGCATTAGGGTACAATAGGCGAAACTGAACCAGCTGAAATTCTTCTTTCACTTCTTGTAGTTCTGTACGCCACATTCTTCGATCAAATTTGACTCACCGCTGAGTAAAACATTAGCCATAAATCGTGCATATATTTGTATTCTGTGGCATTGAAGAGGTTGTTGATTTGCTTGACAATGGCTAGAGTCCCTGAGGAGTTTATTGTGATGTACCACGTGCTAATATCAGCAGCACACAAAACAAATTAGCTTGTACTTAATTAATTCGATCTTGAAAAAGAAAAAGACAAAAAAGGATTTACCCCATTATCCTTTAAAGCTTTTGACTGCTTTTATTGTGAAAGTTTTCTTTGATGTAGAGACGATAATTTACTCTTTTCCCCCTGATACAAAGGAAAACAAAAAAGATGAACTTGTAATAAAGAAATATTTACATATGGAAAAAATACTGCGAGGAAACTTCATCAAAGGCTACTTAGTTTTACAATGAAAGAGGTTTTTTTGGATCAAATGTTTCCAGATTCCTGAACACATTCGGATTACCTGGCGGTTTACAGACATTCATTATCCTAATTATCCGACTTTTTATTCGGATACTTTAATATTCACTTTATATTCAAATATAAAGTGAATATAAAGTGAATATTAAAGTATCCGAATAAAAAAGTCGGATAATTAGGATTCAAAATCCCAATACAAGCGACGAAACCGGGCTTTTCAGTTTAATACAGATTCACGGTCCTTCTGCAAACTTAAGACAATATGAGGTAATCAGGATTCCGGAATCTAAGATCTTGGAATCTGGAATCCTGGGCTTTGGAATCTGTAATTCAACTCAAGGAATCCGGAATCTCATTAACGATTGGTTAGAGCGGTTTTCACTTGACTGTCGTAAAAGCAAAACCAAAGTAAATACACTAGCCAACCAAAGGGCGTAGTAAAACCAAAACCAAAACCAAAACCAATCCCTTTCGACAGTCAAGTGAAAACCGCTCTATCAGGAATCCAAGTATCTCTGATAAGACATTTGGAATCTGTGGAATCCCGGATCCAAGACGACGAGGACGGGGAAGTTAACAAAGATGTCAAAGTAAAAACAAAACAAACAACAAAAACAACTGAACAAACTTGCATCGTAATTGTTAGTGATTTTCTTCGTTGTTCAAGTCGTCTCATAAAAGGTGTGAGTTTCTGGTGTTCTGCTCACACGGAGGAATTACGAAAATTTACATCAAAATCGACGCCAAATTCCCCTCCCTCTCCCGGTTCGGTCGAAAATTTGACCAGCGTAGTGCGAACATCATTACTATCTAAGGGTGGATTTCCAATGTCGAGTATTGTACGCGCGCGAATTCGCGCGTGAAATTTACTCGCGTTAGTAAAATGAAGACAATAGAGGGATTAGCAGTCAAGTTTACGGCAAAAGGCAAACGGCAGATTCAAGCTGAGAATTTCTCAAAATAGAAAAGAGGCAGATAAAAACTGTCGCGAACAATTCTTTTGTATAAAACAGGCGTGAAACTACTTATTTTTGAGTAGAAGTAATAAACAGTTAACGACAATTAAGGGCAAAACTTGGTCACGTGCATGGTACAAATTCACGTTTACGGTAAATGTGAATCTTAATCTCTCTAATGTATGGAGGGCCAACACGTATACGTAAACGCTGAACCTCGCACAACTTCTACGTTTGCGCGTGGCGTTTCATACATTGCCGCCTCTGTTTCATTTACGCTCGCAAATTTTACGTTCGTTCGCACAGAAAAATTACAAGACAGTGGAAATCAACCCTTGATCTTTGTACGAAAAAGGTGCATGGACGCGAGAGAACTCAACTGGAAGACGCTATCTTGGATTTGCTTAGCTGAGCGCACTACGCATGGGCAGATGTTAAAACCGCTGAAAATATTAACTCACACGACTCCAGATTTATTTCCCAGTTATTTAATTACAACATCAATTACAAGTTCTAATTACAAGTAGGCGGTAAATAAAAAAAGTTAAAAAACCTTTTCATTTGGGACAGTTTTGAAGGCTTGAAGGCGTAAGACAATGTGCAAGAAGAAAATTTAAAAAAATTAAACGGTAAAACATTTGTATATGTACTTAGAGAATCTGACAACATAAAACAATGATCTGAGTAGAAAAATATAATAATCATTGCAATGATTATACAGTATGCTATAAGGATGACTTAAGTGGTAGTTTATGGCTGAAAGGAATTTACATTTTGTTGCCACATTTTAGAGCCAAAAACCCTCTCAGTTTGAACAGGCCAAAAAGGATGGCCTGGACAAACGGCTGTCCCAACAAAACAAACCCAACAACAATACCACTAGAGAGTGCCGGAGACTCATCATAATCTATATACGAATATATATAGGGATCGCCAAGAGCATTAGTGCCATTTGATGCCCAAAATATCACAGTCATCAGAACATAACAAGCACCATAGATCCAAGCGTAAAGAAAGTGAAGGAATCTCACAGGAGTTTCACTAAGCATCACGTCTGCTACGATAAAAAGGCTGTTTATCAAATGGGTTGATATGTCCAGCCCACTGGTTTTTCCGGTAAAGATGAGCGTCCAGTACAACAGGGTTACCAAGATGGCGGCATTGGCAGCGATAATAAAGATGACCCATAATGCTTTGTGATACCACGCCATTTTCGCGGCTGGTTGTTCATAGTTTAGGCCTTGGTCGTTAGCGACCTCAATGCTAATCCCGCTGCTTCCATCGCTCTTTGCTGTTGTCATTTGTACGGGGGCTGTTTCATTCGGTGTATCCCTGATGTGGTTAAACACACACACAACAAATGCCAAGATGAAATACAACGTAAGGAATGCAAAGCTCCAGTTAGTGAGATAGATGAACCACTTCTCGTCTCCATTACTAAGGTGAAAGCCACTGTAAATAATCCAACCAAGGCAATAACCAGCGAACACACAGCGATATATGGTCACTCCAACATCCGGGAACCACTGCAACAAATCAAGTTATGTGACCAGTTAGTAATCGTTATACACTGCGTCTGAGTCAATAAACCTATGACGGTCTCCATGCCTCCTTCGCGAATTTATCAGAGATAATTTCTTTAGAAAACTACCCTTACACAGTTGACTGTGCTGGAAAGGCCCTTCGCAGTACGCAGTCAGGTTACTGTGGCCCGTTAAGATCATGAGCCCGCGGCTTCAAAAAAAAGCGTACCGGCAACTTATATTGAGATGGATAACTTTTAATTCATCGAAGTTGTTGTTGTTGTTTTGCTTTTTGAACGAAAAGACTGAAAAGAATGATTGACACACCATAGCGCGCGTGCGCAGATGACCCTACTCCCCTCCCATGTGTTAACCATTTTTCTCTTTAGAAAACGTTATAAAACACATGTTGTGTGTAACATTGGGTTTATTACGCACTTGATGACACTTGAGAGGATTGCAAAGCTTTCAAGATAACTACTCGAGGTATTAGGTTGTTGACGTAATCAGCGTTCACAATGATGTAACATAAACGCTTGCGCTATCCAAGCTATGTTACAATTTTCCGTTTTTCAGCTCCGTTAGGTTAAGATTAACTAGAATAAATTCTGCTTAAGATGAATATTACCTGTGAGGCAAGTTGAGAAGTTTTCTATCTTTTCTGTTTGATTAGTTCTTTGTACCTCTTCTAAGCGTTTTGTTGTTTGGTGCAACTGTTGTTTTCTGCTATATTGTTCCCCTTCGGTAGAGATCACGTAAATTTTTGCAGGGTAACCGAACTGGTTTGAGCGCTATTTTATAACATCATCATGTTATTTAGTGCGCACTGGATTCTTTCAGTGCTATTTTCATTTGCTAGGTTTCTTTTCCTCTTATGGCAGTCAGTACTTAGCTATGTAGATATTTTTCGAATATTCAAAAAACTTGCATAATTAGCCTCAGTCAATTTCTAAATAAATGCGTTCGTTTCAAGCACTGTTTTGATTTTCCTTGTTTTTTTTTTTCCTTTAAGACTTATCTGAACTTTTTTTAGCCGAAGTGTCAAAGAGCACAAAGCAGTAGCAAGTCTCTGTCTCGGCATGTTTATCATCTGATATCGTCGTAATTTGTTCGTCGCCTAAGCAGTGATCGACGGTAAACTTTCGGAAGAAATCGATGTAACACAGCATTGACACAAGCGTAGCGCATGGCGGGATTAAAAATAGGAAACTCCCAAGAGGGAACAAATTAAAATATACTTAAAGAAAGCAAATCTTGGATTTCAATTCTAGATTTTGCAAGATATATCTGATGAAGTATAAAAGGGATGTTTCGTTTGAATGGTCAAACGACTCGCTCACAATCTGAAAAGTGAAGTGGGACTTCACTGTTGCAGAAGTCTCAATAATTTAGTCTGGAAATGGACACTGTCAACAGCAATATAAACCTTTCTGTTAAGGTCAAGCCTAAGTAAGGAAGCAACACTAAGGTCATTCAGAGTGTAAAGTGTAAACCAAACAAATACATGCATAGATAGCGTTGAAAATATTCATGAGTGGGCTAGCTGTGAACACTCCAAAATTCAACTTACCGGCGATCGAATAAAATCTCCGGAGTCGTGATGCTGCAGTTTTACTTGGGAAAGACTAAATTCCTCCCGACACATGTTGATACACAAGGGGAGGCGTAGTGTTGACTCTTTCGCAGCATTTGCATGCGTTGGAAAAATATTACGTAAACCAGCATTAACAATGCCAAACACTTACGATTTTGACGTCATAACAATTGCGTGTTAAAAATTACAGTGTTATGCTAATGAGGAAAAGAACACGGTTTTTCGAGGTTTTCATGCTTGTAACTTCTTGGACACCCACGGGACCTTCGCTGGTGTCCCTATAACAGAGGTATCCGCTAAATACAGGTTCATGATTTTAATTAAAATATGGGAAGAAGCAAAAAAAATTAAACAACAACAACAACAAAAAAACAAACTAGAGGAGTAAATGAAAACTATTTTAAATGCTCACCTCCTCCATAGTAGGTAAAGTTGCTTACACTTCTAAATGATAAATTTCTGCAATTTGATTGGCTTAGAGCAGTGGTATTTCAGCGTAATTTGAAATACCTATTGTGAAAATTACAAAGCTTTTGCAGGTAGTAGTGTAAACACATAATAGCATGATTTGTACATGATATTTGGCATAAATACCACTCATGGAATTTCAAAATTGTCTGAAATTTCACTCCCCTAACGGCTCGTGAAATGAAGTATAATGATTTTGAAATATCACTCGCGGTATTTATGCCAAATATCACTACTAATCATGCTGTTACCTGAAGTCGCTCCCTATTGGTCTCGACTATATTATATACCCTCTAACTAAGCATGTTGCCCCATGTAAGGGAATCTGGATTCCAGAACCCAGGAAATTTAGCTCATGGAATATGGAATACAGAAGTGTTGCTTCTGGAATCCGGGATCCATGCATGGCTATGGAATCCCGAATACAGCTCAAGGAATCAGGAATCCAAATTCCACTGACAAATCCGGAATCTAGTACCTGAAGTCCAGATTCCAAGAGTGTCTTGTATTTCCTTACATGGGGTGATTATGAGCATGCATTATTATTCAATTTGCAATATAAGAATTGACTAATAAAACTAGTATCTGTGGATATTTTTTCATTGTTGCCAACTAGTAAATGATAAATTGTGTCACGAGTATGATAATAAAGAAACTAAAATGGTATTGCAGTTCACTGTCTACGTAGAGTTTTTAGATAACATCTTAGTTTAAACAAGCCAAATATCAACAGCTGAGCCACAGGTAGCCCAATGAACCCATACAGGACTATCACCACAGCAGCTTTAGCAGGTTTACTCTCATAGTCAAGGATTGGATAAATGTACTTATTACCATCAGTGGTCCCACCAAGCAACCAATAGACCACTGAAAAAAGAAAATACACAACTCCATACAGCACTGCATAAACGATATGGAGAAGTTGCACAGGGATACTGCTCAAGCAAGTTTCTATTAGCATAAAGACTGAGTTTAGCAAATGAAAAGCAACATCTGCTTCTCTAATATGAAACCCTGAGTACAACAGACTCCAGTATACAACTGTAACAAGCAAAGAATTATTAGCGGCTATGATGTAAAATGCCCATGATACCTTATGGTACCATTTTTGAGGGTAGTTCAAGGCTTGTAAGCAGGCATACACATGACTAGAATGCCTTGCTGTATTACTTTCAGTTGTTCTTTCTGCAGGTGAAATATTTTCAGTATCCTCAAACGCATCATAATATTCTTCTTCAAGTAAGCTGCTTTCATTAGTGTCACTCGCCGATTGTCTCGGTGTTGTGTATTGGGAGTTGCTTATTTGTTCCTTGTTAGAAGAGGTTGTTGATTTGCTTGACAATGGCTAGAGTCCCTGAGGAGTTTATTGTGATGTACCACGTGCTAATATCAGCAGCACACAAAACAAATTAGCTTGTACTTAATTAATTCGATCTTGAAAAAGAAAAAGACAAAAAAGGATTTACCCCATTATCCTTTAAAGCTTTTGACTGCTTTTATTGTGAAAGTTTTCTTTGATGTAGAGACGATAATTTACTCTTTTCCCCCTGATACAAAGGAAAACAAAAAAGATGAACTTGTAATAAAGAAATATTTACATATGGAAAAAATACTGCGAGGAAACTTCATCAAAGGCTACTTAGTTTTACAATGAAAGAGGTTTTTTTGGATCAAATGTTTCCAGATTCCTGAACACATTCGGATTACCTGGCGGTTTACAGACATTCATTATCCTAATTATCCGACTTTTTATTCGGATACTTTAATATTCACTTTATATTCAAATATAAAGTGAATATAAAGTGAATATTAAAGTATCCGAATAAAAAAGTCGGATAATTAGGATTCAAAATCCCAATACAAGCGACGAAACCGGGCTTTTCAGTTTAATACAGATTCACGGTCCTTCTGCAAACTTAAGACAATATGAGGTAATCAGGATTCCGGAATCTAAGATCTTGGAATCTGGAATCCTGGGCTTTGGAATCTGTAATTCAACTCAAGGAATCCGGAATCTCATTAACGATTGGTTAGAGCGGTTTTCACTTGACTGTCGTAAAAGCAAAACCAAAGTAAATACACTAGCCAACCAAAGGGCGTAGTAAAACCAAAACCAAAACCAAAACCAATCCCTTTCGACAGTCAAGTGAAAACCGCTCTATCAGGAATCCAAGTATCTCTGATAAGACATTTGGAATCTGTGGAATCCCGGATCCAAGACGACGAGGACGGGGAAGTTAACAAAGATGTCAAAGTAAAAACAAAACAAACAACAAAAACAACTGAACAAACTTGCATCGTAATTGTTAGTGATTTTCTTCGTTGTTCAAGTCGTCTCATAAAAGGTGTGAGTTTCTGGTGTTCTGCTCACACGGAGGAATTACGAAAATTTACATCAAAATCGACGCCAAATTCCCCTCCCTCTCCCGGTTCGGTCGAAAATTTGACCAGCGTAGTGCGAACATCATTACTATCTAAGGGTGGATTTCCAATGTCGAGTATTGTACGCGCGCGAATTCGCGCGTGAAATTTACTCGCGTTAGTAAAATGAAGACAATAGAGGGATTAGCAGTCAAGTTTACGGCAAAAGGCAAACGGCAGATTCAAGCTGAGAATTTCTCAAAATAGAAAAGAGGCAGATAAAAACTGTCGCGAACAATTCTTTTGTATAAAACAGGCGTGAAACTACTTATTTTTGAGTAGAAGTAATAAACAGTTAACGACAATTAAGGGCAAAACTTGGTCACGTGCATGGTACAAATTCACGTTTACGGTAAATGTGAATCTTAATCTCTCTAATGTATGGAGGGCCAACACGTATACGTAAACGCTGAACCTCGCACAACTTCTACGTTTGCGCGTGGCGTTTCATACATTGCCGCCTCTGTTTCATTTACGCTCGCAAATTTTACGTTCGTTCGCACAGAAAAATTACAAGACAGTGGAAATCAACCCTTGATCTTTGTACGAAAAAGGTGCATGGACGCGAGAGAACTCAACTGGAAGACGCTATCTTGGATTTGCTTAGCTGAGCGCACTACGCATGGGCAGATGTTAAAACCGCTGAAAATATTAACTCACACGACTCCAGATTTATTTCCCAGTTATTTAATTACAACATCAATTACAAGTTCTAATTACAAGTAGGCGGTAAATAAAAAAAGTTAAAAAACCTTTTCATTTGGGACAGTTTTGAAGGCTTGAAGGCGTAAGACAATGTGCAAGAAGAAAATTTAAAAAAATTAAACGGTAAAACATTTGTATATGTACTTAGAGAATCTGACAACATAAAACAATGATCTGAGTAGAAAAATATAATAATCATTGCAATGATTATACAGTATGCTATAAGGATGACTTAAGTGGTAGTTTATGGCTGAAAGGAATTTACATTTTGTTGCCACATTTTAGAGCCAAAAACCCTCTCAGTTTGAACAGGCCAAAAAGGATGGCCTGGACAAACGGCTGTCCCAACAAAACAAACCCAACAACAATACCACTAGAGAGTGCCGGAGACTCATCATAATCTATATACGAATATATATAGGGATCGCCAAGAGCATTAGTGCCATTTGATGCCCAAAATATCACAGTCATCAGAACATAACAAGCACCATAGATCCAAGCGTAAAGAAAGTGAAGGAATCTCACAGGAGTTTCACTAAGCATCACGTCTGCTACGATAAAAAGGCTGTTTATCAAATGGGTTGATATGTCCAGCCCACTGGTTTTTCCGGTAAAGATGAGCGTCCAGTACAACAGGGTTACCAAGATGGCGGCATTGGCAGCGATAATAAAGATGACCCATAATGCTTTGTGATACCACGCCATTTTCGCGGCTGGTTGTTCATAGTTTAGGCCTTGGTCGTTAGCGACCTCAATGCTAATCCCGCTGCTTCCATCGCTCTTTGCTGTTGTCATTTGTACGGGGGCTGTTTCATTCGGTGTATCCCTGATGTGGTTAAACACACACACAACAAATGCCAAGATGAAATACAACGTAAGGAATGCAAAGCTCCAGTTAGTGAGATAGATGAACCACTTCTCGTCTCCATTACTAAGGTGAAAGCCACTGTAAATAATCCAACCAAGGCAATAACCAGCGAACACACAGCGATATATGGTCACTCCAACATCCGGGAACCACTGCAACAAATCAAGTTATGTGACCAGTTAGTAATCGTTATACACTGCGTCTGAGTCAATAAACCTATGACGGTCTCCATGCCTCCTTCGCGAATTTATCAGAGATAATTTCTTTAGAAAACTACCCTTACACAGTTGACTGTGCTGGAAAGGCCCTTCGCAGTACGCAGTCAGGTTACTGTGGCCCGTTAAGATCATGAGCCCGCGGCTTCAAAAAAAAGCGTACCGGCAACTTATATTGAGATGGATAACTTTTAATTCATCGAAGTTGTTGTTGTTGTTTTGCTTTTTGAACGAAAAGACTGAAAAGAATGATTGACACACCATAGCGCGCGTGCGCAGATGACCCTACTCCCCTCCCATGTGTTAACCATTTTTCTCTTTAGAAAACGTTATAAAACACATGTTGTGTGTAACATTGGGTTTATTACGCACTTGATGACACTTGAGAGGATTGCAAAGCTTTCAAGATAACTACTCGAGGTATTAGGTTGTTGACGTAATCAGCGTTCACAATGATGTAACATAAACGCTTGCGCTATCCAAGCTATGTTACAATTTTCCGTTTTTCAGCTCCGTTAGGTTAAGATTAACTAGAATAAATTCTGCTTAAGATGAATATTACCTGTGAGGCAAGTTGAGAAGTTTTCTATCTTTTCTGTTTGATTAGTTCTTTGTACCTCTTCTAAGCGTTTTGTTGTTTGGTGCAACTGTTGTTTTCTGCTATATTGTTCCCCTTCGGTAGAGATCACGTAAATTTTTGCAGGGTAACCGAACTGGTTTGAGCGCTATTTTATAACATCATCATGTTATTTAGTGCGCACTGGATTCTTTCAGTGCTATTTTCATTTGCTAGGTTTCTTTTCCTCTTATGGCAGTCAGTACTTAGCTATGTAGATATTTTTCGAATATTCAAAAAACTTGCATAATTAGCCTCAGTCAATTTCTAAATAAATGCGTTCGTTTCAAGCACTGTTTTGATTTTCCTTGTTTTTTTTTTTCCTTTAAGACTTATCTGAACTTTTTTTAGCCGAAGTGTCAAAGAGCACAAAGCAGTAGCAAGTCTCTGTCTCGGCATGTTTATCATCTGATATCGTCGTAATTTGTTCGTCGCCTAAGCAGTGATCGACGGTAAACTTTCGGAAGAAATCGATGTAACACAGCATTGACACAAGCGTAGCGCATGGCGGGATTAAAAATAGGAAACTCCCAAGAGGGAACAAATTAAAATATACTTAAAGAAAGCAAATCTTGGATTTCAATTCTAGATTTTGCAAGATATATCTGATGAAGTATAAAAGGGATGTTTCGTTTGAATGGTCAAACGACTCGCTCACAATCTGAAAAGTGAAGTGGGACTTCACTGTTGCAGAAGTCTCAATAATTTAGTCTGGAAATGGACACTGTCAACAGCAATATAAACCTTTCTGTTAAGGTCAAGCCTAAGTAAGGAAGCAACACTAAGGTCATTCAGAGTGTAAAGTGTAAACCAAACAAATACATGCATAGATAGCGTTGAAAATATTCATGAGTGGGCTAGCTGTGAACACTCCAAAATTCAACTTACCGGCGATCGAATAAAATCTCCGGAGTCGTGATGCTGCAGTTTTACTTGGGAAAGACTAAATTCCTCCCGACACATGTTGATACACAAGGGGAGGCGTAGTGTTGACTCTTTCGCAGCATTTGCATGCGTTGGAAAAATATTACGTAAACCAGCATTAACAATGCCAAACACTTACGATTTTGACGTCATAACAATTGCGTGTTAAAAATTACAGTGTTATGCTAATGAGGAAAAGAACACGGTTTTTCGAGGTTTTCATGCTTGTAACTTCTTGGACACCCACGGGACCTTCGCTGGTGTCCCTATAACAGAGGTATCCGCTAAATACAGGTTCATGATTTTAATTAAAATATGGGAAGAAGCAAAAAAAATTAAACAACAACAACAACAAAAAAACAAACTAGAGGAGTAAATGAAAACTATTTTAAATGCTCACCTCCTCCATAGTAGGTAAAGTTGCTTACACTTCTAAATGATAAATTTCTGCAATTTGATTGGCTTAGAGCAGTGGTATTTCAGCGTAATTTGAAATACCTATTGTGAAAATTACAAAGCTTTTGCAGGTAGTAGTGTAAACACATAATAGCATGATTTGTACATGATATTTGGCATAAATACCACTCATGGAATTTCAAAATTGTCTGAAATTTCACTCCCCTAACGGCTCGTGAAATGAAGTATAATGATTTTGAAATATCACTCGCGGTATTTATGCCAAATATCACTACTAATCATGCTGTTACCTGAAGTCGCTCCCTATTGGTCTCGACTATATTATATACCCTCTAACTAAGCATGTTGCCCCATGTAAGGGAATCTGGATTCCAGAACCCAGGAAATTTAGCTCATGGAATATGGAATACAGAAGTGTTGCTTCTGGAATCCGGGATCCATGCATGGCTATGGAATCCCGAATACAGCTCAAGGAATCAGGAATCCAAATTCCACTGACAAATCCGGAATCTAGTACCTGAAGTCCAGATTCCAAGAGTGTCTTGTATTTCCTTACATGGGGTGATTATGAGCATGCATTATTATTCAATTTGCAATATAAGAATTGACTAATAAAACTAGTATCTGTGGATATTTTTTCATTGTTGCCAACTAGTAAATGATAAATTGTGTCACGAGTATGATAATAAAGAAACTAAAATGGTATTGCAGTTCACTGTCTACGTAGAGTTTTTAGATAACATCTTAGTTTAAACAAGCCAAATATCAACAGCTGAGCCACAGGTAGCCCAATGAACCCATACAGGACTATCACCACAGCAGCTTTAGCAGGTTTACTCTCATAGTCAAGGATTGGATAAATGTACTTATTACCATCAGTGGTCCCACCAAGCAACCAATAGACCACTGAAAAAAGAAAATACACAACTCCATACAGCACTGCATAAACGATATGGAGAAGTTGCACAGGGATACTGCTCAAGCAAGTTTCTATTAGCATAAAGACTGAGTTTAGCAAATGAAAAGCAACATCTGCTTCTCTAATATGAAACCCTGAGTACAACAGACTCCAGTATACAACTGTAACAAGCAAAGAATTATTAGCGGCTATGATGTAAAATGCCCATGATACCTTATGGTACCATTTTTGAGGGTAGTTCAAGGCTTGTAAGCAGGCATACACATGACTAGAATGCCTTGCTGTATTACTTTCAGTTGTTCTTTCTGCAGGTGAAATATTTTCAGTATCCTCAAACGCATCATAATATTCTTCTTCAAGTAAGCTGCTTTCATTAGTGTCACTCGCCGATTGTCTCGGTGTTGTGTATTGGGAGTTGCTTATTTGTTCCTTGTTAGAGATATCTGACCTCTCCACTGGTAGGCAATCACTACTTGTACAACAATCATTTACACGTTGGTGGCGAATGTGAATCCAGTATATAACAGATATCACACTACTGCAAGTGAAGTAAGTCGTTACACACAAAAAAGTCCAGTCTGTAAGGAAAATAAGCCATTTCCAAGTATTATCCAAGATTATGCTGTAGATTATCCAGCTGACACAGTATAAGGCAACCAAAATGCGATACCCTGCCACAGCTGGTAAAGGTAGCCACTGGAGAAAAAAAATGTTTAATAAGTGAATGAGGAGGATTTTTGTCTCCCTTTAAAATTTAGTCAAAGTAATTGGACGACGCCACCACTGGTTTCCCTGCGAAATGACACCTGAGGAACAAGCCTAGAAATTCCAAACCAATGACATGTCATCACCCAGAATTGTGTAGTGCTTCTGATTGGTTGTGCCATGTGGAAAATTTGCCTCAACCAATCAGAAGCAACACCCAGATCTGATCAGTATGGAATTTCTGTGCTTGTTCACAGGGTAACCAATGGTGACATTGCAAAAATATCAGCTGTTTTCCAAGGCTAATTTGGATTCTATGACAAAAGATTTCAATTTTTAAACTTAAGTTGCTTGAACATGGAAGGTTATTCCTCTTAGCTTTGGAAGTAGGTTCGTCTTTATTTGCGCTCTCCTTTTTCAACCCTCCAGTCGCATATTTAATACCTATTAGCTTCTACGTAGTTCCAAAGCAGAATTCTTGCTGAGTTTTAATATGGGAATCTAACGCTCGACTTTACTGGCTTGGTTCTTGCGAACTGGATTATCCACGGCAGTCAAGAGCGAATAGCACTCCACTACATAGTGTCCTAAGCGGAACACGCAAAAAAAAGTTTCCGTGACATGCCGGGATATCGTAGGGGTGTCGAGAACGGCGGCTCACTATAAATTTCTATCTTTCCCCTGATTCATTAACGTGATTCTAGTTATTAGATCACTAACCGGTGATACAGCGAAAACCTTCCCAGTCGGGTAAAAGAGTTTGAAATTTTTCCAACGGAGTTGTTCCCGGCAGAGCATTTCGTGTCTGTTGATCGGCAAACTGACGTACGAAACGTACGAACACGCGAATGTCACAAGACGTGTTGTATCCAGGCCCTCACTCCTTGTGTCAGTTCCTCCTCTGGCTCGTCACGCAATCCCAACCAAACAATTTACGCGACTAGACAAAGGAGGCGGGGCTGTCCGTGGGGATAAATTAAGGTCCACAATCGGTGGACTGTTTCATGGTGGTTGTCTAATCTGTGCGACAATTTTTTTAATAATATTCAAACTTCGTGGACCGTGAAACTTGGTTGACAACATTTGCTGCAAACAAGCTGTGGCGCGTTTTACCACTCACGAATCAAATCATCCTTGCATCAAATCAGGTCGTCTCAGGTTTAAATTGTTGCAGAAAGTAGTGAATGGTTCTTTTTGCAAAAAGTCTGTACATGTTGCAGGGGCGGATCCAGGGGGAGGGTGCAGGGGGTGCCCACCCCCCCCTGGGATGACCTGCGGCCGCTCTCTAATTAACACTGTGCAGTCGCTTGACAGACATACAAAACCTGCTCTATCGTTTGATATGTATTCTCAGCGGTTCACATGATGTTATTTCCTAATCAAAAGCCCTCTTCTTCGTATTCGCTTTTAAAATTTTTTACGTCATCAGTCAGTTAGTGGTGCACCCCCTCCTAAGAAAAATCCTGGATCCGCCCCTGTGTTGCGCGTTTTGCCTGGGCCTACGAAAAACTTGTTTTGCAGCAAGTGACTCAAGGGGAGCGCAACATCGCTGTTCAACTCGTTTTGTAGCAATCAGTTGTTTTTATTGCCTGTTTACGATATGTTTTGGCATGAAAAATCTGATACACGTACGCAAACGAACAGTTGCGGTTGACGTGCGTTGTTCAAAAACGTCTTTTAAGCTCGCTATTGACCGATCCTTTGCATTTATGTTTAACAAATAATAATTATAAATACAATAATACCAAGCCTTACAAGGTCATATTGTTTGCATTTTATTCACATAGAATTTCGATAAATGCTCCCACATCCATTTCTGCAGTCAAGTTTAGATTTATTAGCAAAACCGAATATGTGTATTTTCTAAGAGTAATTAAAATTTTATTGTCGAAACTTTGACATTATTCGGAGCGGAATAAAGTTTTAGTTCAAAGTATTACCAAAGGCGACATAGGCCGTTTTATATCACGGTTCTCAATATAGGCTGGTCAGAGGCTCCTGAAACGTCTTTCGCACCCAAATAAAAATCTTTTAAAAGAACTATATTCGTATTCTTTTCTACCGAATGCTTCCCGTTATTTTCTATAGGTGATTTGTTTTCTTTTCTAAATGGAGAGGTATATATTATGATATGCAAAAAAACAATTCCATCAACAAAATGCACGGTCCCTTAGACTGCAAAAGCTTATAATTAAAATAAGGGCACTACATAAAGCATATTTTTTTTATTATTATCAATTTTTTAGACCAAAATGACCCCAAATCTAAATATTAGTGCAAGAATGAGTTGATCTATATCAGAGAATTTAAAGCCGTTCAAAAAACTCTCAGCCGTGTATTATCAGGCGTAAAAACTCTCGGCTTTGCCTCGAGTTTTTAAACCTAATGATACACTCCTGCCCGTTTTTTAAACAGTACAAGACGCCCTTAACTTCTGCCCTGATTACCTTCTAAACATGTTCTTAATTTTTCTTTATTCTGAGTGTAACGTATTCGTATTTCTGTATAAATAAAGACAATAAATAACTAATTTTCAAGCAAGAATTTTAAGGTTATACGATTGCGGCTAACTAAGTCTCGTTTAAACTTGATTTTACTTCCTCTCCAGGAGAAGAGTGGTTTACAGAGTTCGCCTTAAGTTCATCACGCAAAGATTTAAGTTCCAAGAAAAACGGCAACTTGTCGCTTGCACGGGGGTAGGTCTGGGTTCTTCCAGATGTAGATGGCATAACATAAACTACCTGTGAAGAGAGAGATTTAGAGAAGAGAATAATGACGACAACTATAACGACGAGGATGACGACGACGATAAGGGGAAGGTGAAAGAAGGAGTCTAGTGCAATTTTTTTTCGGTCCCCCCTCCCCTTAACCCCCAGGTCCATTCCATCAACAAAATGCACGGTCCCTTAGATTGCAAAAACCACAGTTTAATTAAAATAGGGGCACTACATAAAGGATATTTTTTTTATTACTATCAACAGCTGGCATCGTGCTAGCTAGCTTACCGAAGTCGTTCCTGGAATTGGGTCTTCCTGCCTGCCAACCTTACATTTAGATCCGGAAAAGGTTTCGTAGATTACTTGAAAACAAAAACAAACAAAAAAATTCAGTTATTGATTTACTAGTTTGTTATCTTTACTTAAATTTCAGCTATTACGTTCATTGTAGTCATTTAACTATATTAAATGGAATAGCAGAAGGCAAGGTGCTGATTTCGTGAGCTGGGCTAGCCTGTTCCAGGTGTTCAGATAGTGGGGAGCGGTGCGAAGTAAAAAGGAGAAAAAATAAAAGCGAGGGAGTCCCCCTCTACTTTTCATCGCTTTCTTTACTTCGCACCGCTCTCCACTATCTGAACGCTTGGAACAGGCTAGAGCTGGGCTGGCTCATTTCGCCTTTGTGAATTTTATCCCAGTATCACTGGTCTGGCTGGGCTGCCATATGATCACTATGACCTGGGGTTTAATTAACATGTCACGATCCTGGGAAAGCCTGTGAGCCACTTCCAGCTCATTTACTCAGCCCCAAGACAAGAAACAAGAAATGAATTTTTAAGGTTTAAACTGGAGCAAGATAAACAATGATTATAAATTAATTGGCCTGGCCTTAGGAATAATAAGAAAACAAACAAATCAATCGAGACAAAAAAAAGGGGACAAGAGCAGAATAGAAAAGAGAAATCACCTTTTCCATTAAAACACACAATAAGTGGTTTATATCGCTCCACCTTTTGTATAAGAGCCTCCTTCCCATCTCTCATTTCTTTCCTGAAAAGAACGGAAACAAAAAATACATTAGTACTTCATGAACACAGGCTTTTATGATCTAAAGCATCGTGTTAAAAATAAAATAACTGTTCGACTTTGTTCTTGAGCTATAAATAAATCAAGGCTTTCCGCAGTTACAATGGTTTCATTAATTTACACTATCAAGATACCTTGAAATATCATTCTGACTCCCCAGATGAAGAGCTTCCTCGCAGGCTATGCGCGAGTAAAAGACACCTGTGAGAAGAGAGGTTGCTCCCTCTTTCCTCATGCGTGTCCTCCTCCCTTATGCCAGGTCATGGCTAATAATTACTATTAATTATACATTCTCTTTACCCCAATAAACATAAATATAAATGACATGTATCAGCAATGCTGTACCCTGGGATTGGTTTCTATATCACTGCATGGATACAGGTTCATGTATTTTATGTTAATTGCAGGAAATAGAAGGTCTAATTAATAATCATGTTACTAGAAATAAGTCACCATGACCATATCCTGTAGCCATGACCTGGCTGCCAGGGAGGAGGGCATGCCGGGGAAGGAGGAAGCTACCTCTCTCATCGAAGGTGTCTTTTACTCTTGTGTATGGCCTGCACTCCCAGTTGCTAGCAAGGATTTAATAGCCAAGTATTATTTTTGTATACACAGGTGTGACTGGCCTCCCCCAATCATTACCATCCCTGTTGAGCTAATCACCTGGACAGATCAGCGCTTCCTCTTGTAGTACGCTCCACCATGTTCGTTAAACCTATCTGATAATCTGATGGACATCTCACATCATCTAGATAAGTCAATCTGTCAGGCACCAAACCCGATTGGTACAGACATGGCCCTGCAAATTAAAGGGCATGTATTACAAATCTGTAAAGAAAATATAAATAAATTATAAAAAATATATAAGGGACTACATGTAGCTAAATAATTATTAAGAAAGAGTTAATCAGGCAATTAAAATAAGACAGTCAGCAATGTCAGTTAATTTGTTTAGGATTATGGAATTGTTTATTTTAAAAATGAATAATTAAATATAAACTAATAACAATCATTATGATGCTGCTGCTGATGATGATGATAATAATAATAATAATAATAATAATATTATTATTATTATCATTTTTATAATAAGAATTCATTTAAGAAATCTCATTTCTTATTATTGCCTTAACTGAAAGCAAATGAGAAAAAAAAACAAACAAGAAAATGAAGAACAAGCAAACAAAAAAAAACACACTCATTTACAGGAAAATCAGCAATTAATTGGACTCAAAGCAAATTTACCCACAGAAATGGTTATTGGCTCCTGGATAGTGATGTCCTTTGAAGGCCGACATTAAACCTGGGTTTATTCCAACCTGCCGACACAACAGAGAGGTCTAGAATCAGATTTAATTAAAATTTTTAATTAATGGATGGCAAATGGACTATGTTAAAAACATACAAAAGGCTGGAAAATCCTGAAAATAGAAAAACACTGTAGTTCCTATGGATGAAAATGGCATGGAACTTTGTACTAAATTTTGAAAATAATATTACACAAAATCTAAAATAAGTTACAACTCTGCTTGATGCAAAATGCTCTTTTTTTTTGGCATTTTCACTCATTCAAATTTTTATGAGCATTGTATTTTTTACATAGACAGTACGTTCCCCCTCTTTTTGATAATATAATTACTTTGTTGTTAGTTTTGAAAGAACACATTGCATACGGGCTGGACATTGACAAACGAAATGAGAGCCTACAATTGTTTAGAGTTTTTCAGGAGATTTATTTAACAGGCCTATCGACATTGTTTTTTTTAAGGCATTCAGTTATTTTTCAGCATTTGAAGTGCTGACATGCACAGCACACTTACAAATAATATATCCAGATTGTATCCCAAATGCTCGGGTAATTTTAAGTTGAGCACTTCTTCCTCAGTCATATCTCCAAATCTATTAACTGGTCGCCTTGGTTTCTTGGGTGATTTTCCTGGTTCTTGCCTGCAAGTACTGGTGTCCTGTTCAGCTTCATCTGTGACGTCACTTGTCACTGGGTTCTTAATGCTAAAATAAGGAAAAAAATTCACATCCTGTGACATCGAAGACAAAATCATTATTTGATTTTATCAAATTATGTCACATTTGGTAGTCAACAGGTCAAGCAAACAGCGGTAAACTTAATGCTGAGAGAGCACTGGAAAATGAAGGAGGTACATGGATAAGAATACTCTCAATTTTCACAGCAGACACCAGGTTTGTGTGGCTGGCTGTGCCATGTATTGTTTAATACAGAGACTGAGACTGAGTGGACAAGAGATACCAGTGGAAAGTCACACAGGGGTCACAAAACTTTATTTTCTCCTTGAAAATAAGTTAGTTTGTTTAGTTTAGTTTGGTCAAGCCCTAGCTCAGACAACATGGATTGTCCTCATCAGTCGCTTTGGTCTCGCATTGTTGTTTATGAGTTCTCCGCTAGTGGCGAACCAAGTGTCATTTCTTAAGTTAAATTTGGCTTGCACGAATAATTTTTTTGGACTTCACCCTGCTAACACCCCACCCCCTTCCCCCCCCCACCCCCCATACTATGTATTTGAGCGACCGCTGGCCGCCGCTCTATTGCCGGATTAGCATAAGCGCTATTGACTATTTTCCAATTCCCCATAATACACTCTGTCTGCCCCCCAAATTTTGCATAACTTATTGTCTTAAAATGCTCTTGGGAAAATGCAATACTCCCAGGAGCATTTAAAAACAATGGTTTATGCAAAATTTGGGGGGCAAACAGAGTGTATTATGGGGAATTGGAAAATAGAGAATTGGTAATTACCTTGATTAAAGATTAAAGTTTCGATTGCGTTCCATGGGCCAAATATTTTTGCCAGTTAGAGTTTGTTCGATCGCTCTCGGCAATCGAACTCAATCGCTCGAATGAATGCCACTAATTTCGATTCATTTCGGTAACCAAATATTTGGTTTGATTGCAGCTGTTCAACTTTTTTTGGCCGGCTCGTATATTGATAGATCGCTAACAGAGAGGATGTCGTTCAAAGAAGAATTATTCACTTACAAGTATGGACTGTATCGAACACTGTTCTCCCGCTTCTGACTCATCATATTCCTTGACACAAAGGATCAGAAAGGATGAAGCTACGAAACTACTGTTTACATCGGCGACTGTGTGCCTGCAGACACAGCTGTAATATTCAGCGGTAGTAACATTCGGTTTGTACTTCATGTATGCCGTTACATTGTGTAGTGAATCTAATTGCGGCGATGGTCAAGGTATTTTACAATTATTTTTTATTGAAACCACGGTTTAATGCGGCAAGGAAAGCTGGCAGCATTTACTAGGCGCCTTGGTGTCTATAAATTTTTGCCATTGTTTTTTCTTCTTGGAGCCGGTATAGAGTTGTTTATGATAAAAGTCCGTGTCGGGAGAGAAACTTTCTGTAAGTATCCTTCCAGAACTAAAACTCAAGTTGTACGCTTTCTTTAGCTTATAGATCAGAAGATCTTCGCGCGCGTTATTGACCCAACTTCGTCTGTAAAGAAGGCTGGATATCGGCTTCGTGTTTTTATTACGTTTTGACGGACCGAGACGAATTTGAGATCAGAAAAATCGCAAAAAGAACGAAGCAATATTAAATCCAGTCATGTTAAATATAACTGAACAAGCCGATGGTCAATATAAAAGGATTAATTTCTGATATGGGCAAGCGACTTTTTCCAGAAGGACCAAAGCAGAAAATCCCAAGGCAGGATGGGTGTATCTTGTACATGTATGCTCGGGATTTTCTGGTGTGGTCCTGCCTTGCAGTTTTGTTGCCAATCAGAAAATATTAAGATATGCTGGGTTAACTCTCAGAATGTCCAACATTGACTTCAGGAGTCAATGTTGATAGTGCGACTTTAACCCTTTTTATTTTAACCTTAGTAAACGGAGTCAAAGCTCAACCACCGACGGGAATTTATAAAAGCGGTGGCTACTAGTGATGGTCTTGTACAAGAATGGTTTCTTGTAAGTGACCATGTGTTAAATTGATGGCAGTTGCTTCCAAGCACATCCTGTTGATTGGCAATTCATCTGTGAATCAACAAAGTGGCTAGGGTTGCTTACATGGGAGGGGCTGCTTACAAGAGCAAAATGTTCCTGAATTATAGACTGGGTAAATTGCCAGATTCAAATAATTTAAATTATTTTAATCTGGCAATTGAGTCATTTTATAATTCAGGAATTCTTTGTTGTTGTTGTTGTTGATATTATTACTTTTGAAGGTTGATGACTTTTACTTATATGCCAGCTTGATCAAGTCAGCAATGATTTTCCCTTTTGCAATACAGATGACGTTTATGTCAGAAAACAGTCAGAAAGAAGACTAGAAAGACAGAATCAGGAACAAGAAGAACATTAACAAAGAGCATCATGCCGGCTGGCGTATCATGGGGTAGATACCTGACCTTTCTTGTTGCAAGTTTAGCATCAGCATTAGCAGGAAGTCAGGTGGTTCATTTGTACTACAAACCAAGTCTGGTAAGCAGTTAAGTTGGATTATTATACGTTTCTGGGAAACTGCCCACCTACTCCTCCCCTAAGCCAACATTTTGCCCTAAGTGAGAAATAGGTGTTAATGTTGGCTTAGGGAAGGGGTAGATGAGAATTTTCCCAGAAATGTATAATGATTCATTAAGTTGTCTCACCTCATTTAAAAAAAATGCAATCTCAACTGTAACCTGGCTTGGTTTACTGGTGGCAAGTTTTAATCTTGGTATTGTTAATGCATTATAATGAGTTTGTTACAAAGAAAGTAACCCATGGATACAGTAACTGAACCACAACCTATCTACTGGCTGGGTTTTCACTAGTTACATCTTCAATTGAACTGGCCCTTTATGGTAGTGAGAATTTCTACCTTTTGAATACTGACAAATTCTAGTCTTACATATACATGCACTAATCCTTGAACTCTGTAAAACCAGACTTCAGTCTTACTGTAATGTTTATCAAAACAATCATTATTAAAAATATTGTGGTTATAACAAGTGAAATAAAGATATTAAATCAGCAGCAGAGCACACTTCTACAATTTTTTATCGTTTGCTTTCCAACAGGAAATACCAGATGTACCGTTAAATCCTAACGAATTGCCAGATCCTGAAGAGAGGATGGGGTGGAGAAAATATATTTCCATTAAGAAGGACTAAGAGATCATGCATGTACAGTACACAACTTTTGTGTACTGTGATAATCAAATAATGCATTTGGATAAAAATTACATTAACAGCAACACGGACAATAAAGTTTGATGGGCAGATAGGTCATTTTACAAGTTAGCTTGCCAGTATATTTGCAGTTTTTACTGTCTTGTAAAAGAACAAACAAATAAATAAATAAAAAGAGAAAAGAACAAAACAGGACATTGCTTAAAGAAGTGCTCATTCTTAATTTAAAAAAAAAAAACGGTTTCCATTCACAAGCAAATTAAATTCACTTTCAGGTGAAAAAGGTCTATAGCGTTTATAGTTGTTTTTTTTTGTTCTTAGTCTTTTTTGTTTTTGACTTTACCGTGGAACTTTAATGGCCTTTTTTTCCTATTTTTTCAACTTTTGCCATTTTTATTTGCCCTACTTGTGTTCCCTGAATTACTAGCATGAAAACGACTATACCTTTATAAAACAAACTACTATTATAGTGACCTCAAAATCCAATTTTGTTCGCAACAGGAATGAAGTAGTACAGGATTTACTCTTGTTTGAAAACATTGTGATGCTGCATCCATGGGGACGTGAAGCGGGAAAAGTTTCTCTATTAGAACATGTTTGACAAATGAATCCAGCCACCGTAATAGACAAGCGTCTCAAACGTCAATTCTTGAATTCATTCACGGTGGTAATTTCGCCTTATCAGTTCTTCGGCAAATTTCTGATAAGAGCGTTCCAAGCGAGGAGTGGGAAGGCGGACATTTTATTCCTGAATCTTTTTCCAGATGGAGCGAACATTACATATTACTTTTTGCTAAATATTCTAGTGTCATTAGCGTGACTGCTACAAGCACTTTTGATTAATTTTCCACCTGAGTGTGCGATATATACTGTGCAAAGACAATCAAACATCAAGAAGGACCTTGTTAACAAATTCTAATTCCCGCTAAGTGACTGATGAAATATGCAAATTACGGAAACAGAAATGAAAAAACCCTGGTACGTGCCACACAATGGCTGTTCATTTTCTTCTTTGAATTTAAAAACAATGAAGCAATTACTCAAGGCAAGCTGAACTACTAAACAGAGCTTTAGATTTTAATATTTTAATAACATCAACAAGACTGAGCAGTGAGATTTTTTTGAAATCAAAACTGTAAAACTGGCCAGAGCCAATGGCTTCCTACGAGAATATCACAACTTTTGATGTGGATCCTCCGTTGAACAACTCGGTTCAAGAAGAAGATTTGACTAGCTTATATATCAGCTTTTCTTTTTTGGGGCTTCTTGGTGTTTTTATAATTGTGGCAAATGCAATGGTTTTCACATTGTTTGCTAAACGGAGTTATCTTCGAACGAAATCAAATGTCTTTCTAGTGTCGCTGGCTGCCTCGGATTTTTCAGCAGGAATCTTGTGTATTCCTCTCGTAATAGCCTGCAATGTATTCCATGAGAGTTTTTACGGCTGGATTATTTGCCTTGGGATGGATTTATCTCAGAGATTTCTCGCAATATCAACCATTCTTCACTTGTTAGCTGCAACACTGGAACGATATCTCAAGATCCATTTACCACTTCGATATTTATCCGTATTAACTAGCCGTAAAGTGGCTATAGTCCTCCTCGTTATATGGTCTACAGCACTATTTTCCTCGTTCATACAACTAACTTGGATCGATATAAAAAGCAGCAAAATGCCCGGTCATTCTCACCAAATTGATGCATTTTATTTAGTTGTATGTGCAATTGTTTTTGTGTTTATCCCCTTTGTAATAATGGTTTACGCTTATCTTCGTATTTTTTGTGTTATCTGGGGTGAACGAAGACCAAGCCTACTTTTAGAAACTGTACCTGCACGACGTATTAAAAGGAAAAAGTCAAGAAACGAAATAAGAGCGACATGCATCTACATAGCAATGGCAATCATGTTTCTTTTTGCTTGGTCTGGTTATTTCTTCGTGGGAATAATGGACGATATTCAACCGGAGAGCGTGAAGAACTTCCCGCAATGGCTTAATATCGTCTTACTGTTTTTGAAGTTTAGCACAGCTCTTGTAAATCCTTTACTGTATACTTTCTTTAAAACAGATTTTCAAAACGCATTGGGTTCGTTTAAGGAGCAAGCAGCGAACTCGCTTGCGGCTTCCGCGCAATTTTTCTCCGCTAACACTTTTGAAAATGAGCGTAATCACAATGAGTGTAGCGCACAAAAGAGACCGAGCTCTAGTGAACCAGACCACTTGCTGCAGAAAGCAAAGAACACGCGATCGTATTCTTTTCCACAGAGAAATACATCGACAAAGGTTTGAAGCCATTTACTGCTGTGACAAAAATTAATGAGAAATAAAATTTAAAATGTGCATGACAGTTTGATTTGGTATCCGGGTAGATGAATTAGACTCGGGTTATTGTTGGTTAAACCCGCTTTCAGGAGCAGCTGAACATAAATGACAAACATCCCTTGTCTGCACTGTCTAAGAACTCGACTATCTAAGAGAAAATCGGATTGCCAGCAGCTATACTCTAGATACTACCGAGATTATACTACAGCTACTGACTGGACTGAAGTTTTCTTTTTCTCAGCCTTTTTTGTTATTCTTTTTCATTGCTGTGACTTTTTGGTTGGCCCGTTTTAATAAAAGAAAGTTTAATATCTATTGTAAAATTTAATAACACATTGTGTCGCGTTGCCGTATCATTGCTTGCTGTAATTAAACCTACAAATATTGTTGTGAGTCATATTTGGTTTATTTTGCATTACCCAATAATCTTATCAATTCAATAATTAAAGGTTTCTCTTCCAAATCACGGGCTATTTTCAATATCGTAAAGTTGTGTGTTTCGTTTCCTTTTTTGCTTCTGTCTTCATGCGAACCTTGAAATTTGAATTCATTCCCATTACGTGTAGTTTTCGCAAATTAGTGGTAAAGAAACATTGTGCTTCCTTTAGTTAATTCGAAGGTCTTTCTTTGGGATTGATTTCCGCAGCTGCTCGGTTTAATGAAAAAAGAAAAGGGAAGAAAAATATAACAGTCAGATGATGAGGCTGACAGCGGGATAGTTCGATTTGTAATTTAAAACAGAGGAGTTCCAGCATGAAGTGAGGTTTCTTTATCATTGATTTGCAGCTGAGGACACATTTTTGTTATGAAACGTAAAAGTGGCCCGAGTTTGGACCAATCCTATTTATGATCTTAAAATCTCTCAGCTCAGCGATTATGAGTTCCAAAAGGAATAAATAAATACGGGTAAAGCTACACTACAATGGGTAACAAAAAACGTGCAACTTGTTTGGCAACATAGCTGCAAAACGAGTTGAATAGCGATGTTGCGCGTTTTACTACCCACGTTCGAACCTGCGGTCGGGGATCCAGGGGAGGGGCCCGGGTGGCCCGCCCCCCCTTATTTTTAGACGAAAATGAGGCCCGAAGGCCCCCCCCCTCTTATCTCAGGGTCTAGCTGACCGCACCCACCCCCCCCCCCTTATCTGAGGGTCTGGATCCGCCAATGACCTGTAAGGTGGCAAGATTTTTTCGTGAGTGATAAACCACGCAACATCGCTATTCAGCTCGTTATACAGCAATGTTGCGAAAGAAGTTGCAGGTTTTTTGTTACCTGTTTTACCGAACCTTAAATAAAAATAGCGCAAGTAAGATTAAGATCTCGTCACCTGAGCTCCAGTAGGTAATCAAGGTGGGATGTCAGTTCAAAGTTAGCTGATATGAAGTCCAGCTGGTTTCAGCATATTTTTATTTTGTTTTCATTTATCACATTATATTTTATTTTTTTTTGAACGGGATTAATGCATGCGACATCGGTGAAACGAGCATCATAATTATTTCTTTGTGCTTTTGAGAACTTTCCCCCTCCCCCTCCCCCTCCTCATATCTCTCTCCAAATTCGACAGTTCCAGATAGATATTACCTTGGACATCAACAATAATCATTATAATCATCTTAAAAGCGATGAAGATGATGAAGATGATGATGATGATGATGATGATGACGACTCTGATGATGATGATGGTAGAAGAGTCAAGAAAGTTATGAGGTCAAAACTCAGAGGCGGAGACATGGTGAGAACATACTAGAAACATAATAAGCTGTGCCGCTGTTGCGTGCAATACAGTGGTGGTGTGGTAAAATAGACTGAACTTAACTTAGGCTTCATGGAATGAGAGTTCAGAAAATGGAGTCGAGGGTTTATCACTGTGGTGGATTGTCTCTGTTTGGAGAAACTTAGCCCTGACAACTTCCTTAGTCAAAGTAAAGAAAAACTGCCAAAGATTGCATGAAACAAGTTTAACACAGAGGAGCTGTTTTCAAATTAGAAAATTGGAGAAACCGAAACAGAAAGAGTTCTTGGCTTCTTGAAAATGCCTTGGAAATCTTCAAATCAGTTGCCATAAGACATCTATGACACACTCGCCCACTGCTCGTGTGCCAGGTTTTTGTTCTTACGGTCTTTTGACGTCATCTGTAATCTATTACTGAACAGACACACGGCTCCATGGAATCTATTTGTTAGAGCCAGCGCATCACCCAGCTGTGTACACACCCCAGGGAACCCCCATGGGTACACTCATCTTATGGGGGTAACTGTATTTATACTAATCTACTGACGTCTGTTGAAGTAATATCCATTATTAATCTGAGTCCAAAAGTTTTATTGCGAGAGTGGAATTAATATGAGAGCTGTACTAACTTTAGCTTTACTTTATGTCTCTTCTTCTACCGGGGAATATTCTCCATACAGGAGTCCATGCAGAAGAATCGGAAATTTTAGTGTTCGTGTTAAAGGTAAGGATGTGCGTATTTTAAACATAATGATATTCAAGGAAACATTTCCCCTTTTTGCATTTCGCCCTTTTTTTTTCCTTCTAAAACGAATGAAAGAGTTTACACTTCAGTAAAGTCATCAAACTGATTAGGTTTACAGTGCAACTTTACTTTTGAAAACAGAAACTGCATTGATCAGAAATAACACTCCAGGCATGCTTTCTTCTTCTTTTACCAATAATTTACGAAATAATTGAGCTAAATTGACTCTCTTGTCAAATGACGCAGCTTCTATGACTGTAAATGCATTTTACAATACTTTTATAACAAAAAAAAAACGGTAGGTCGGGCAAAACTAAAAAAAAAATCGAAAAAATGACAGATATTAAAAGACAAGGTGAAAGGTTATAAATTATAAATCCAGTTCCAAAAGTTGACTCCATACTAGCACTATCGTTTAAGATTATCATCTTTTATAAAACAACTAAGATAGTAGGCGCGTTCTGATTGGTTAAAAACCTATGGTTTATTGTGCCGGTAGACTCATAGAAAACTTAAGGTTATTTTATACAAGCAATAGACCACACTTTCTATGGGGTTACCGGCGTGATAACCCACTTGGGATGGGAGAACACTTGAAAAGCTTGTAAACCACTCGCCTTCGGCGACAAGCTTTTCTCGTGTTCTCCCAACATCCCGCGAGGGCTATTACGCCGGTAAACCCATAGAAAAATGTGGCCTGTTGCTTAAAAATAACATTGAAACTTTTGTCATTGGAATGGGCCAGGACAGATTTAATAAATTAAAGAAAAAAATGGAAAGACATGCATCCCAACAAAACATCTGACAAATCGATACAAGAGCATACGTTTATGACGATATACTGCGTGTATTTATTAACAAACTTTTAGGCGTATAACTTTATTAAATTATATATGACCATTGACCTCCTGGTTTAACTTTATTCAAACGGCATGGGAAAAAAAAACAAAACAAAACAAGAACAAAAGCGTTACACCAGTTGTTTTGTTTCTCTGTACTCTCCCCATAGCCTGTTTCTGTAGCGTCGCACAGTGTTTTTACAATGACGTTAAAACTTCATCATGTAATTAATGCAGGAAATTTTTAAATAGAGTTTTCACGGATGACTAAACCATGGAACAGGGACAGGAAACGAGCACGAGGAACGCTGCCTCGTACCCATGGTTTTCCCGAGTTTTTTTTTTTCTGTACTCATTATCTGTTCCCCGCTCCCCGTTAAAGAAATCTCCAGTTTTCACAGGCAACATTAATGGTCCCAGCTGGAGGGTAAAAGATGCTCGTCTTTTGTTGCTTTCACACTGTGAAGTTATTCTTTTCCTTCCGATGACCATACTTGCTGATTCGACGATTTTTCGCTACTCTAGTGTCTGGGGATAGCCTGTTTCTTAAAATCATCAGGCTGCAACGTGACTGCCAACTGAAAACAACAACATTACACACATTGAAACTCGTTCCCACCATGGAAACAAGGTTGTACACACATTATTCAATTTTATACTCCTTTCTTTTTATGAATTACAGAGTACGCCCTTGTTGGTCATGTGATCTTCAAGTACAATGTCTCTTCAAGACTTGACTGCGCGTTCAGATGTTTGTTTAATGGTCGTTGTCTTTCGTATAACTACGAAGAGGGTGAGAAATTGGATCATACGTGTGAGCTGAACAGTGAGAGCAAAATGACTAAATCGACTGATCTGATGAGCAGGGCTGGTTATTCTTATTACGGCACAGGAAGAAATGTAAGATCAAGGCCTATGCGTTCTGACAAATAGTTAATTGGTTGACGCTCGTCATCATCATCGTCATAATCTAATGCTGCTTTAAAATCATGGTAAAATATTCTATGATAACCGAAGGGGTGTGTCATGTGCGTTTAACATCAAGTAACAAGCTTACTTCAAAATTGGAACAGTGCTTATAAGTAGATATACCAAAAGAAATGTGGAGATCCCTAAGTAAGTAAGGTTTTGACCCGGGTTTGGAGGGGGTATTCCCTATACGGGAAGGCTCCCTTCGAAATGGGTACCTTTTTCAGGCTGCAGTTGTATGAAAGGGTAGGGATTTACTATTGAATTATATGAACGGGTAAAGAAATCTGCCTTTTGTCTGTAAAAGGACCTAAAAGAGCTAACAGAGGCATTTAAAGGCTTTGAAAAGAGAACAAAACTTCCCGCGCTCTAAGCTTGGTACGTGAAAGAGGTACCATTTGTCAATAGAAGGTACACGGAAGGGGGATCTTTTCTGTTAATTTAACACTGAGTAAGGGGTTGGAATTCGGGGCGGAGCCTCCCCGTACAAAACTTTGTCTAGTGCTTCGGGGCCCGGGGGAATTGAAGCCTTGATAAGGCGTGATGGTAACCAGTTAGTGCTCTCTCTAAAATACGCTTATCTCCAGCTAACTTCAGGGTATTTGTAGTCACGGAAACTGACGGTTAGTTCATCGTATTTGCTAAGTATGTAATCTATTAATAGCGTACTAATCCATAGACTTCAGCACTGCTATTACATAGACTTCTGTTGTTGGCATAGCATGGAGAATTTCTTAGAGCGTGTAGGTTTAATCATTTTAATCATCTGTGCTTGTGACATCAACTTTAACTTCCTGGACTTACCAGGTACCCGATAAATGTGCTTCGTCGCCATGCATTAACGACGGGACATGTCAAGATTCTTGTGTGGAAAGGTCTGGATTCAAGTGTTTGTGTATTGACGGAAGGAATGGAGACAAGTGTCAGTATTGGACAGGTAAGGAGAAAGTATTTCTATTAATCAGCCAGCCGGAAAAGATGCACTCTGTTCACCTAGCGCGAGTGGTGTTGCTAAAGCAGTGAATGGTGAAAAACTCGTTTCTCCATTCTTAAGCCTCTAATTCTATAAAGGGCGAAGCTTTCGTTGAAAATGGTAATAAGAAGAGTTACTATTATAAGAAGAAGTAGTTAAAGAAGTGTGAAGTCATTCAGTACTTATCTGTTTTTATGCTGTTGACTTTCTCTGTTTCAGAGAGGAAATATTACTGTCTTTGCCACGCAACTGAGCATCTTCACCTTCCATGAAGTAATATCCATTATTAATCTGAGTCCAAAAGTTTTATTGCGAGAGTGGAATTAATATGAGAGCTGTACTAACTTTAGCTTTACTTTATGTCTCTTCTTCTACCGGGGAATATTCTCCATACAGGAGTCCATGCAGAAGAATCGGAAATTTTAGTGTTCGTGTTAAAGGTAAGGATGTGCGTATTTTAAACATAATGATATTCAAGGAAACATTTCCCCTTTTTGCATTTCGCCCTTTTTTTTTCCTTCTAAAACGAATGAAAGAGTTTACACTTCAGTAAAGTCATCAAACTGATTAGGTTTACAGTGCAACTTTACTTTTGAAAACAGAAACTGCATTGATCAGAAATAACACTCCAGGCATGCTTTCTTCTTCTTTTACCAATAATTTACGAAATAATTGAGCTAAATTGACTCTCTTGTCAAATGACGCAGCTTCTATGACTGTAAATGCATTTTACAATACTTTTATAACAAAAAAAAAACGGTAGGTCGGGCAAAACTAAAAAAAAAATCGAAAAAATGACAGATATTAAAAGACAAGGTGAAAGGTTATAAATTATAAATCCAGTTCCAAAAGTTGACTCCATACTAGCACTATCGTTTAAGATTATCATCTTTTATAAAACAACTAAGATAGTAGGCGCGTTCTGATTGGTTAAAAACCTATGGTTTATTGTGCCGGTAGACTCATAGAAAACTTAAGGTTATTTTATACAAGCAATAGACCACACTTTCTATGGGGTTACCGGCGTGATAACCCACTTGGGATGGGAGAACACTTGAAAAGCTTGTAAACCACTCGCCTTCGGCGACAAGCTTTTCTCGTGTTCTCCCAACATCCCGCGAGGGCTATTACGCCGGTAAACCCATAGAAAAATGTGGCCTGTTGCTTAAAAATAACATTGAAACTTTTGTCATTGGAATGGGCCAGGACAGATTTAATAAATTAAAGAAAAAAATGGAAAGACATGCATCCCAACAAAACATCTGACAAATCGATACAAGAGCATACGTTTATGACGATATACTGCGTGTATTTATTAACAAACTTTTAGGCGTATAACTTTATTAAATTATATATGACCATTGACCTCCTGGTTTAACTTTATTCAAACGGCATGGGAAAAAAAAACAAAACAAAACAAGAACAAAAGCGTTACACCAGTTGTTTTGTTTCTCTGTACTCTCCCCATAGCCTGTTTCTGTAGCGTCGCACAGTGTTTTTACAATGACGTTAAAACTTCATCATGTAATTAATGCAGGAAATTTTTAAATAGAGTTTTCACGGATGACTAAACCATGGAACAGGGACAGGAAACGAGCACGAGGAACGCTGCCTCGTACCCATGGTTTTCCCGAGTTTTTTTTTTTCTGTACTCATTATCTGTTCCCCGCTCCCCGTTAAAGAAATCTCCAGTTTTCACAGGCAACATTAATGGTCCCAGCTGGAGGGTAAAAGATGCTCGTCTTTTGTTGCTTTCACACTGTGAAGTTATTCTTTTCCTTCCGATGACCATACTTGCTGATTCGACGATTTTTCGCTACTCTAGTGTCTGGGGATAGCCTGTTTCTTAAAATCATCAGGCTGCAACGTGACTGCCAACTGAAAACAACAACATTACACACATTGAAACTCGTTCCCACCATGGAAACAAGGTTGTACACACATTATTCAATTTTATACTCCTTTCTTTTTATGAATTACAGAGTACGCCCTTGTTGGTCATGTGATCTTCAAGTACAATGTCTCTTCAAGACTTGACTGCGCGTTCAGATGTTTGTTTAATGGTCGTTGTCTTTCGTATAACTACGAAGAGGGTGAGAAATTGGATCATACGTGTGAGCTGAACAGTGAGAGCAAAATGACTAAATCGACTGATCTGATGAGCAGGGCTGGTTATTCTTATTACGGCACAGGAAGAAATGTAAGATCAAGGCCTATGCGTTCTGACAAATAGTTAATTGGTTGACGCTCGTCATCATCATCGTCATAATCTAATGCTGCTTTAAAATCATGGTAAAATATTCTATGATAACCGAAGGGGTGTGTCATGTGCGTTTAACATCAAGTAACAAGCTTACTTCAAAATTGGAACAGTGCTTATAAGTAGATATACCAAAAGAAATGTGGAGATCCCTAAGTAAGTAAGGTTTTGACCCGGGTTTGGAGGGGGTATTCCCTATACGGGAAGGCTCCCTTCGAAATGGGTACCTTTTTCAGGCTGCAGTTGTATGAAAGGGTAGGGATTTACTATTGAATTATATGAACGGGTAAAGAAATCTGCCTTTTGTCTGTAAAAGGACCTAAAAGAGCTAACAGAGGCATTTAAAGGCTTTGAAAAGAGAACAAAACTTCCCGCGCTCTAAACTTGGTACGTGAAAGAGGTACCATTTGTCAATAGAAGGTACACGGAAGGGGGATCTTTTCTGTTAATTTAACACTGAGTAAGGGGTTGGAATTCGGGGCGGAGCCTCCCCGTACAAAACTTTGTCTAGTGCTTCGGGGCCCGGGGGAATTGAAGCCTTGATAAGGCGTGATGGTAACCAGTTAGTGCTCTCTCTAAAATACGCTTATCTCCAGCTAACTTCAGGGTATTTGTAGTCACGGAAACTGACGGTTAGTTCATCGTATTTGCTAAGTATGTAATCTATTAATAGCGTACTAATCCATAGACTTCAGCACTGCTATTACATAGACTTCTGTTGTTGGCATAGCATGGAGAATTTCTTAGAGCGTGTAGGTTTAATCATTTTAATCATCTGTGCTTGTGACATCAACTTTAACTTCCTGGACTTACCAGGTACCCGATAAATGTGCTTCGTCGCCATGCATTAACGACGGGACATGTCAAGATTCTTGTGTGGAAAGGTCTGGATTCAAGTGTTTGTGTATTGACGGAAGGAATGGAGACAAGTGTCAGTATTGGACAGGTAAGGAGAAAGTATTTCTATTAATCAGCCAGCCGGAAAAGATGCACTCTGTTCACCTAGCGCGAGTGGTGTTGCTAAAGCAGTGAATGGTGAAAAACTCGTTTCTCCATTCTTAAGCCTCTAATTCTATAAAGGGCGAAGCTTTCGTTGAAAATGGTAATAAGAAGAGTTACTATTATAAGAAGAAGTAGTTAAAGAAGTGTGAAGTCATTCAGTACTTATCTGTTTTTATGCTGTTGACTTTCTCTGTTTCAGAGAGGAAATATTACTGTCTTTGCCACGCAACTGAGCATCTTCACCTTCCCTTGGCCTCAATGACCATCATCATCATCATCATCATCATCATCATCATCATCCTCTGCCTCCTCCTCCTCATCATCATCATCATCATCATCATCATCATCATCATCCTCTTCCTCCTCATCATCATTATCATCATCATCATCATCATCATCATCATCATCCTCTTCCTGCACATCATCATTATCATCATCATAAAATTATCATCATCATTATCATCATCATAATCCTCCTTCTCCTCATTCTCATCTTCATCATCATAATCATCACCCCCTCCTTCTCCTCCTATTCCTCCTTCTCCTTCTCCTTCCCCTCCTCCTCCTCCTCCTCATCATAATCCTCCTTCTCCTCATTCTCATCTTCATCATCATAATCATCACCCCCTCCTCCTCCTCCTATTCCTCCTTCTCCTTCTCCTCCTCCTCATCCTCATCATCATAATCCTCCTCATCATCATCCTATATAATAATCATCATTTATGCTGTTGCGCGACGTGAAAAGATTATTAACGGTTCATTTAGTTCATATGTTCAAATTATACAGAAAAGTCATTTTCACTAAAAGGTAGATTTTGGTTTTTACTTTAATTTGTTCTTGAGTATCCATTAAAGATCTGAAGAAAGTCATATTTTACTTTCAGCAAGAGAGAATGATCATTTGATTTTGCTCCACTAGATTTATTAACCTGTGACGGCATAATTTTTGCTGTGTTATTCTGGTAGCCAAGGATACTAGTTAAGAATTCTCTCTTGCTTTCAGATAATGCGCAAAATTATACAGCTGCTTTTGAAAGGGAGAATGCCAATGATTACCTTGAAACAGAAATAGATGAACCATTGGCACAGCTTACGACTTGTATGTGGCTGAAGACAACAAGGAAGTGGAATTGGATGACTTATCTGTCACTTGTTTCCCCGGAAAATCAAAAACATTTAACGTTCCGCTGTTGGGACACTAAACAATGCAGACTTACCATAATAGGGGTTGGCAAGTAAGATATATCCGATATTACTGGCATTTAAGTTTTAATAGCCCCATGTAAGGGAGTTCAAGACAATATTAAAATCTGGATTTAACGCCGTGGATTCCGGATTCCAAGTACGGGATTCCGTAATCTTTGTATGTGAAACTAGCTAACTAGGATTCGGATTTCGGATTTCAATAATTATTGGGATTCTACCTACATTGATTTCCTTGATCGAGCTGTTTTCCGGATTCCATATTCTAGATCCTTCCTCAGTTACAAGCAAAAATTTTCCGGATTCCGGAATTCGGATAAGAGACGATTCTAAATGGAGCTTTGATTAGAGAGGCAAAATTACATAATAATGATTGGTTGACCGCCAAAATTTATTTGTCGCCCTTGACTAGTTGAGCGGTCATAACCGTGATTGCACCGTGTTTTAATTTCTATCTGGATAGTTGTGTGCTGCCTGTCGGTTTAATTTGATATTAGATAAACGAAAGCCGCAATTAGGGCCTCTTTTTACGAGCCCGGTTGACCGTGCAGGCCCGGTTTCCGAGATCAAGCCTTGCCTCTGAATCCTTTGTAATTTTTTGGATGAGTTCATATGATAGGGTGGGCTGGCTCGGTTCCCGAGATCTCGGTTAGCGGGCTGGAAAATTGTGCCATTTGAACACTTCAGCCAGGTTACCGTGATGGAAGCGGGATGAATTCTTCGAATGAATTCTGTATCGTCTTACTTTGCCTGCTGTATTTTCCACATCATAAGCATTCAATTCAAGAGCATCAGTGACACAGCTATAAGAGTTGCCAAAGCTACGAAGAGCACAAAAGTCATATCTTTGTGTTTCTTGTTTGCGTTGTTTCTCAAATTTCGCGCTATAACTCCTCCTTAGGATCTTCGGCCTTTTCTCATCTCCTAAGCCGGGCTGAAATTTCTCATATGAACCCAAGGCGGAATCGATGCCGGTAAGCGGGCCAGCCCGGGCTACCGGGCTCATCTTAAAAAAAGGCATTTAGAAAGATAACAGTCACTCTTATCTATACAGAGACATAGATCTTCCACCTTTTAACAACGGACTATGGCACCTCTTGTGCTTCACGTGGGAGAACATTTTCGGTTCCTGGGCTGTAATTCTTGATGGATTCGTAATGATGTCCGAAAAGAACTTGCGGGTTGGTAGGGACGTTGGCCCAGGAAGGTTGACTGTTGGCAAGATGCAAAGCGGAGCATCAACCCCGGAAGAACCTTTTACTGGGGAGATTGCATCAGTAAACGTATGGAGCGCGAAATTGGACTACAGCAAAATCAGAGAGATGTCACGGTCAAAAAGTCAAGAATTAGGAAATGTTACAGATTGGAGAGAGTTTCGACATGGTATTAATGGAGAGGTGAATATCCTCTCACCTGGCAGTTTTATTTCCTTTGGTAAGCATGCACGAAATTAACAGAGTTTGCAAAAACAACTAATAAAGTCGAACGTCCATGTGCGACCACCTCTCATAAACTTTCACTTCCCATAAACGACCGCCAATCATAAACACCAAAATTTTCCCAGTCAAAGCCTTACTGTTGTTAACTCTAGTAAACGACCACCCCTGTAAGCGACCGCGACCACTTTTTGGGCCTGACGGTTAATGATTTTCCATTGTTTTTAACCTCTTGTAAGCGACCACTTGACGCATTCTCTGATCTTTATGTTCACTGTGTGCACAAAGCTACGTAGAATATACGAAGAACTTTAGTGACAACATGGAACTACTCATGTCGTAACTTAGACATTGCATGCAATAAATTATCTCCCAAAAAGTAGATGTGCCTAGAAATCTTCTCGGAAGCGGCCCCCTGTGGTTCGATTCTTGTTAACGACCATTTCCTGTACGCGACCACTAAGTCTTTGCATTTTAGTCGGTTGGTCGCTTACGTGAGGCTCGACTATGAAAAAATATTGTCATTATCGATTGGTTTGTTCATTATTTGCTGGAAAAATTGTTTGTAACGCGCCCTAATTTCAGTTTTAGACACTGAATTCGTGGTCGACTTTGCATCGAAGAGTGTTAACAACTACATACAACCATCCACTGTGATGCCATCACTTCATCATTTGACAGTCTCATTTTGGATGAAGACGAGACTTCTTGCTGATGCCGCGATTGTCCACTATGCGACCAGTGAAGAAATAAACTCTCTCTATCTGGGTTTTGGGACCAATGGAGCCTTGAACCTGTATGTCATGTCTTCTAGGTGAGTATTATGGTTCTGATTTGACGGTAGGTACAACATGCAGGTCTCACGTCACATTTCGCAATTAAGTGCAGGTTAGAGTACAGGTCAGTGTTAGCATAAATAAAGAACACTTGAAGTGTCTCATAGCCCTAATCACAATCATAGAGTTTTAGTTTTAGGAAAAATGCTTATCTCGGTGACTTACACTTGTGACCTATGTGGGTGTGTTTTTTTGCCCAGGTTTGAGTTGATCCCTTTAATTCAGAGGTTTCGGGCTTTTCATTAAAGTAAGTATGTGTATTAGTCAGTCAGTCAGTCAGTCAGTCAGTCAGTCAGAATCCGGAATCCAGCCTGAAAAGCTGCTTCATTGTCATCATACGAAACTTGCTCACCTAAGTCCCCTGAAGAAGAACTAGGACTGCTTTCGCTCAATACGCATTAGTACGACGAAATGAGCGTCCTCGGCAAATTTTTCTTAAACCGGAAATGGAGAGCCTCTATCTTCAAGTTAAAACTTACAGCTTGCCAGCAAGCTAGATATCAAGAAATTTTCCTTCGCTGTAAAGCGTCACTTAAACGGAAGTAATACTGTCGAAACGAAACTATACCAGTAATGGGTTAATATGAATTATATGAATGCCCAAGTTCTGGGTTAATTGTGCCTGTCTGGACACAATTGCAATTGTTAATTGTACTTCATGATTTATCATTAGCAATTCCAAAAGGTACTACCTGCCTGGTATGAATGGCGGTCTTTGGCATCATATTTGTTTAACATGGAGCAGTTCTCTGGGCAAAGTCCAGTTTTTCTTAGATGGATCACGAATAAAAACAGTTTCTGGATACCGCGAAAATTTTACTGTCCCGGAAGGAGGAATCCTGAGAATTGGACAAAAACAACTGGAGGTTGGTGGAAGCCATTCAAGTAGCAAAGCATACGAAGGTGAGCTGAGCAGAATCAACATTTGGAATACGGTTCTGGCGGATTCTGTGATAGAGGCACTAGCTTTGACACCTGGAGCCGAAATTGGAAATTTTCTGTCCTGGAGAGACATACGCACATCAATATTCAGCGGACTGGTGTCAATTCAAGATGGCGCCGATCCTCAGCCACTTGGTAAGACTTACAAACTACGTAAAATATAAGGTTGAATAAGGCCAAAAACAGAATGAAGTCATTTAAAGGTTTCAGGCGCTATTGAAAAACCTTGCTGCTTTTAGAACTGTGGTTCACTTTTGTTTTTGTTTTGAGCTTCGAATCTAAATATATTACAATAACTTGAAAAAACATTGAAAAGTGGTTCAAAACAGATCAGAAATGAAAAGTTAACCGCAATATGAGAAATGAGAAATATTTCAGGGAATATTCTTTTGCCGTCAAGCAGAATTCATGGTGAACGGAACCAAATTTTCCAAAGACGGCCGTTCAACAATACAGCAAATCTTATAAATTTTGCTTAAATTCATGTCTTTCAGCTAAAGAAAGCAATTACGATCTGCTGTTTAATTCGAAGTCGACCAGCAACTACGCAACTTACAGCTCGTTGCCATCCATGACCTGTTTAACAGCCTGCCTTTGGATGAGAACATCTTACTCTGGGACGCATTATTTTTTCTCTTATTCCACCAGCTCCTATTATGATGCACTAACCCTTGGGTACGATTCTGGAGAGGCTGAGATTGACTTCAACATCAACTATCCTTCTTGGCGGTGAGCATTTGTTTATCGATGGGATTTGGGAGATATTTTGACCCGCGAACCATTAGTTTGTAAAAGCATGTATCCTTGGACGAACCGTCTACGAGAGGAAAGAAAAACGCTATCGAAACTAAACAAGACCAGCTAGCTTCATTGTTGAAACCTTTCACAGTTTCACAGTAGGAGTCTTGTTACACATCAGCCTTTGGTTGCTGCCTACTATTGACTTTTCAATAAAGTATCTATATGCATGTATGTACAATTATTACTCTTAGGATTGATACTCAGTGCTGTGGGGGTGAATTGAAGGAATCCTGATACATCATCTCACAATGAAACCCAGCTTATTAACGGTGGAAGGTAGGAAATAGGCCATTTCCGAGTTCCAGCCAATCTTGTGAAAATGAGTTCTATTTGCATTTCAGTGGCTTCCCACTTAGCCTCGCTTTGAAACAGAGACTTGAAGCATCTCGGAAATGGTCTATTGAAAATTGCCTGACAACCGAACCAGCAGCTCTAGGTCCAGCAGAGATCATCAGACTTACCGCATGCGCTGTAGACTAGTAGACAATAAAGGCTTGTTATATGTTCCCCGATGGACATGTCATACTAGCTGACTCCATATAAATTTTCTTCTTTTTGTCATTGATGTAACTGCAGCTACCATGCCCTTTCAAGTGCTTTCATGCATGATGATGGATGGCATCATTTGTGCGTAACCTGGAGAAATACAGACGGCAAATGGTGCATCTTTGTCGATGGTGAAAGGAAATGCTATGGTGAGGGTTATAAAACTGGCCAAACCATCTCAGGAAATGGAAAGTTTTTTCTTGGCCAAGAGCAAGACTCATATGGTATGAAATCAATTGAAACAGTAGCACCATTAGAGAGCTTTAGATTCTAAGACGAGGGCGAAGACGAGTACAAGATTTTCTCAATACAGCTGTACTGAGTATTGCTCACTCGTGAACCAGTGTCATTTTGGCAGTAAAACGTGATAACCGTCGTAAATCTACTACGAGTTTTAGTGCGAATGTACGTCGTAGTGAAAGTAAGGAGTTTTATCATTTTGCTATGGGAGAGGACTTAACAACGGATCTTTTCTTTAAGGACGTTTATCAAATAATTCTTTCTCGTTCTAAGCACTCTCAGGAAATTTCGTGAAAGTTGAATTCTGCATTCTTGTGATTGAGAAGACACTGAAAAAACATTTGGCCATCTAAAAAAGGATGGGTCTAACCTGAGACATTTCAGTAAAATTGTCCAAAAAAATTCTATTTTATCCCAAGACACAAATACATCCAGTTTATGTATCAATGAAATCGAGGCAAGATTTGCACTGTTTTTATTAACTGGTTGGTTGGAGTTGATGGGATAAAGCAATTCCCAGGTTCTGATTGGCTACAAGAGCGGGCAAGATACAATAGGTGTTATTTGGCCGCTCTGGATTTCCTGATTTACTCCCGCCGGGAAAAAAAGGTTCTTTTGGCTAAATAATAAATCTTTCATTGACCAAGCTTGTCCAGTCAATAAAGAACCTTCTCCGGCCAAAAAAGAGAGAAAATATGAATAAATGAATGAACGAAATACTTGGCCACTATCCAGCCATCTCGACCTCACCCTTGGTCTGCGCCATTTAATCCTGGTATCACACACTTGACGTAAATAATTAATAACGTCAATGCAGTCGTAGCTAATTTTACACTCTTTGCTGATATCTCGCCTTACTTTTCAGGGGGCAGCTTCTCTTCATTTCAGGCATTTTACGGCAGAATGAGTAGGGTGAATATCTGGAGTAGTGTGCTTGCAAACGATGCCATTGAAAAGATGTCTTTAGGCTGCGGATTGGTTAGCGGTGACGTGGTGGCTTGGCATCATTTCAAAAACAACTTATTTGGAGACGTGCAGGTGGAGAAGCCGTCCTGGTGTTCATTGATAGGTACGGTTAACTCACGGGGCATTTTTCTTTTGACCCCAGAAAGGAGTTCCAAGAGGGCTAGCATAATGTCCGTATTTCTTGGTGGACTATATATAGTTGATAAGACTGTTGTTGTTTAGTCTGACTACATGTTATGGTATTTTTAGCTAGTAGGGTAAATTTGCGATGAAATGGAGTAAATCTTAGCACTTTTAATTAGTAGAAGCGATAGACTTGCGCGTATGCATGGTTTATATAAATGGAATATTCAAGAAAGTTTATCTCTTGGTCCCCTCTCCCTTAGTCATTGACTTGTTTGGTGCCCATACCCAGTTTATCCTAAAAAAAATAAAATAAAATAAAACCAAACAAACAATATCGATCGTTTTCTCTGTGTAGGGCCTACAAAACAAGCCAAGCTAGATGCTTACTGCCAAAGCCAATTCTCTGGTTCGTCCTGTAGTGAAGGAACTATCACCAGAGCAGTATTTGATAGGAAGCACGATCAAGTTGGAAAAAAATGGCGTTGTTACTATGAGAACGCCCTCACAGAGAGTTCCACGGGATATGCATATGACGTGAGCAAGAGCTCTGGATGCCTACACACCAAAGATAGTGAGCTACGAAGCTTGTTACTCTAAATATATTAAGGAATGGTTAAACCCTTAGGGGGTTACAATTTATTATAACGAGGGATCACTTTCCGCTTCATCAAAACTGTTATCCATGATAACGGATATATCTTGAGAGAAGGTTTTTCGGTGCTTGTTTGTTTGTTTTGTATTAATTGGGTTTCTTGTAACTGTCATATTTACCATATAACTACCCTCTATCGATTCCCAGGAGTCCCCGGGCATATCACCCTCGTCTTGTCCCTGTGAGTTTGCTTTATGCTATGTAATTCGGATGCACAACTAAAACTTTTTTCATGACCTCTGATTTTTAATTAGTAAAGTTTATAAGGTAAATTAGCATCGCCAAAGAATACGAACAAGATTTTTAGGTGAAAACAAGTGCCACTGAGTGTGATAGCATTCTAGTCGAGTAGGGAGAATGGGCTTCCCATGCACTAATTATACATTTTTCTTGCTTACATTTTTGTAATACTCACGATATGTAGTTAACGAATTTGTATGTTCCAATCTCGAAATATAGTCCCAATTTCAGTTATATGGCCTTCGTGGCGGCCATCTTAGTGGCCATCTCGGATTTCTGACGAAGGTCTATAATCGACAAAATTCACCTTCGAATTGGACGTCATAAGAAAACAATATCTTTATTTCAGGACAGGTTTGTAAAAAGGAAAGAGAAATTAAACGCAGTCTCCATGGTTTTATCTTTAGTTGGATACATTTTAGTAAAACTGATATCGAACTTTATCGGAAAGTAGAAAATAAAACACATAAAATAAATAATAGCTGTATTGTGCTTCCCTTTACAACTTGAAAAGCTTTAATTCTATACTAGCTCATATCAACTCTTAAACCAGACCACTTTTGTCGTTTAAATCTCCTATATTTAAAAGCCGGTTTTCACCAAATTCGTAGTAAACGTGTCTCAAACATAAAGGAATAGCTACTGAGATGGGTAAGTGCCCACATAAAATGATCTTGCTAAAATGTTTAAAAAACCCGAGGGGGCATTCCACACCAGCACCCCTTCCCCCTACGTCCGAGGGTTAATATAATATAAGGCAGTAACTTAATAGCAACAATATAATACTGAATTACTTTGTTTGTTATAAATTTAGAAAACATAACCCACTTCGAATAACGCTTGCTGTAAGTGGGTAGTGGATATTTTGTACCAACGTATTAGCGGAGCTCTCGCGCGCGCAGAGGAGAACCATGGGTAAGAAAAAATGGTAACCTACAGATGCGAGAAATTTTGGTCATCACGCAACTGTCCGTACGTCCGTCCATCTCCTACATGTACGCCAGTGTCAAATGTCATATTAACTCTAACCAGCAGTATACACCACTTTCATGGACAAGGAAAATGACAGTAGTCTGTAAGTTATGTACGCCATGCATGCGCAGATGAAGATGAATTTGCAGCTGTAAAAAGCCGAGTCTTTTCTTCGACTTTATTCTAATTTCTACACCGAGGTGGATAACAGAGAAAGAGCTTGAGCGAGAGATAAAAAAAGGAGATGAAAAAGAAGGGGAAGAAATGCATGAAAATTTTTGTAGCGGCGGTGAGCAAATGAGAAACGGCGAGTAGCGGCTACCGAAGCGAAAATGAACGGCAGTGAAAAAATGGAAAGGAAGCAAATTCACTTTTAGCGACGTTTTCACTGCCGCCGTCCTCGTCGTGGCTTAGGCTCCTGTTGTCTTTTCTCAGCTGAAATGTCCCTCCTTTACTCAACTAAGGCCAATAAATCTGTTTCAATAGAATGTAAACATTCCGAGTTTGTGTCCGTATCATAAATAGGTAACTGAGTGTGCGAATCAGTAGTAAGAGCAATATCATAGTAGCAGCGCCACCGCTTTCCAACTTGATTAAATTTTCTATCAAACGCTGCCCTTATAGCTGTTCCACAAGTAGGATCAGAGTACCTGCTTCCACAGTAAGCATCTCTAGCTGCCTGTACAGTGGGCACTGAAATGCAGACGGAGAAAAAGTCAGATTACTTAGTCAAGAGCTCATTAAAAGCATTTCTCCTTGTTAGCAAATAAAGGAGCTACGTCACGGGCGGCGCATGCGTTTTAGACTGGAGTGGTTTCGAATCAATTCAATAAAATTTCTAGGTCTAGGTATAGTTTTAGGTTTCACACTTTGAAAACAACAGCTACTCTGCAAAATGGACCTTTAACAGTTTTAATGAGTTGACTCCTAGTACAAAAGTTTTTTTATTGAATAATTTGATTGTATGAACATTAATTTGTCTCTCCACCCTGTTTTTTCCCCCAAAAGATCGAGGCGACTAATTTCCTCTTGTATAAACTCCTGGAAGTA